TTGGCATGTGGGTGCCTCGGCTCCCGTGTCAGCGGCACGCACAGTCCACCGCGCGCGCAGAGAACAAGTGACGCGAGCGTGGGCCGTCACAGCCAGACAGACCTCAGCGAGGCAATACTGAGGCGTGGCTGTGAAAAAGACCGAGAGTAACAGAGTCAACTGAAACTGATACTGTTATTTCCTGCACAGAACTTCACTCAGAGATGAATATTTCATTTTATTCTTACATTTCACTCTTTTTTTTAAGTTCTGAGCAATCAGTCCTCTCCAAAGCCTAAATTCTCAAAGTCTTCAAGATTTGATTTTGTGATTGCACTATAACCTGCCAACATTTTTATAATGCATGTGATGCAGTGACTGCAGCGCGTGTTTAAGACACAGATTACACGCAGCCCCCAGGGTGATGTGCAGGGGCTGCAGCGGCTTTGGACCACGCTGGGTCCCAGGGCTCCAGCTCAGCTTAACAGGCTGCCCGGCACCCGCGCGGCTACACACGGGCCCGCTGGTGCAGACAGCTGCTGGTATTGGCGTGCGGCGGTGTGCAGAAGATGATCAGGCCTGCGCGTGCAGGGGCTGCTGCGGCCAGCCCCCCCCCCCGCGCGGGCCCGGGAAAAAAAAAGCTTTGCAGGGAAACACGAGGACGTACAACTTGCACCATTTTTCAGCTGTGGAGGTGGGAGTCTCGGCTTGTCAGATGCCCTCAAGCTTACGCACACAAGCTCAAGCAGAGCAGAAGCTGGTGTGACCCTCTCCCAAGTCCTTCATCACACCATGCCTTGTGTGTCCTCCCATATACATACTGTATTTGCAATACCACGCCGTACCATACCCCTGCCCCACCCAAGCACAGAAACTCCAGAGCCACGCACTTACACGTATTAAGGCAGCAGTACCCAGGCAAGGCCAAGCGTACCCTCTGCTGTGCTAGGTGTGCGTTGTGTGCGTCCATAGGTACCTACGCCTTTGCTCTGATTGCATGTGCACCCTACAAAAGTGGCAAGGAGGGGGCTGGTTGCCACATGTATGTGTAACATACATGTCCGTGTATGTGTTAGACAAATAGTATTTTGGCCAAATAGTAAAAAAATGTGAGGGCTGAAAACTTTTTGTGGGCAACACACCCTGCCTGGTGTGTTCTTGGTTATTTGCTGGGCCAGAGAAGTCATGTTTTGGGACTTTTTCACTGCCAACATGGGATGCAAATGGTCCCAAACATCCTCCCCCCAATCATTTGACCATGAAAGATACTTTCTCTGACACATAGGTCAGGTAAGTGTAGTAGCTGAACTTGAACTTGTTCCTGAGCTCAGAGGGGAAAATAAGTTCCTGTCACCCAAACAAGGAGTGAAAAATCAGCGCTGTAGGATTTGTGTGACAAGCCACAGAAGATGAACAGGGAATAACTGAAAAAAAGAAGCCATGGATGGAATATAAATTTTCCACACAATTCAGCACATACTTACTTAATAATGAAAGAATAGAATTGGGGCACAAACAGCTGATCGAGTAAGTGACGGCTACATTAGGAAGGAATCACACAAATGGAAGTGCTACAGAATTTCAGGGGCTCTGGGGACATCCTTCTTGGATTTGCTGCCTTTTAGTCACCAGCTAGAGTTTAATAGCGACTGTGCGGCTGAGCAAGCCTGTGGCACCCGTGCTCCGCCCAGCAGAGAGGGGGTCTTCGCCTGGTAAACTCTGCAGGTTGTGAGAGGGAGAAATTGCACTTCGGTCCCATGGGGCTCTCCTGAACAGGGGGCTTTTTTTTTTGTCTGCCCCCTGCCATTAGAAATAGCTCTTCTTTGTAGTAAACATGTCTTCTTTCTTCCGCAGCAGGATCGGTCCCAACATATAGACTCATTTCCATCTCCACACTTCAGCATCTTCCTGCACCCCTTCTGTGTAATTCACCGCCTACACATACACATATATGTATATGTGTATATGTACACATACGTGTACATATACACATATGCATATACGTGTACATGTACATATACATGTACATACACCTATGTGTACATATGCATGATGAGCATGCGTTTGTGAAACCACAGCCATGTACACCTCCCTGCCCCATTACAAAGAAAAGGCTGCCAAGGCTTGGTATTGCAGGGTGAATTTAAAACAGCATCGCTGCCTTTAAAGCCATCCAGAAAAGGAAACCCATAAACGTGAGGATGAATGAGAAGATGTCAGGAGTGTTAGCACTTAATATTCCTGGAGCGAGGCTGCATTATTTGTTGCTGCGGCAGAGCGCTCCTCCCTGCCTCCTCTGACAGACCCCTGTGCATGCGCGCACACACACATGCAAGTTCGTTACCCACCCTTATGAAAAATCAACCTCCCGGGCACACCCTGCACCCTCACCCCATAGCTGTCGTGCCACAGGGCTATAAACACAAGCGTGAAGCCTTCCTCCACCCCAATTAAGAAATAAATAATTGCGGCGCAGCCCCTGGGAGGGGAGGTGTCCACTGGTTGGGCCCATGTTTTATTGATCCGACCGCTGTGATGAATCAGCCCCCGTGGAGCCGGTGTCTGGCTGCAGACAGGCACTGGCCACCGCGCAGAATTACAACGAGCCCTGGCATGCCAGGGCCACTGCCGGGAAGGTGACGGAGCGGGGAGGTGCGGGGCTGGTGGCCAGGGGGGGTGCGCCGTGCAAAGGTGTGAGCCATGCCCCCGCACCAGGTGGCCAGCAGCTCCCCAGCCACAGGCACGGCGAGGGATGGGATGGGGTCGGCAGCCGGGGCTGAGCCTTCCCGCTTGCTCCAGGGCCTGTTTCTCCAGCCTGGGTGTTGCCTAGGGAAAGCCGCACGCCGTCAGAGCATTGGGCGGGAGGGGAGGATGCTGAGGAGCTGGCGGGCAGGAGCCTGCAGTTGGGCTGAACGGAGGCTCACCTAAGCGGGAAGGCGGCTGTGCCTTGCAGCGCCAGCCCACTGCCGCAGGAGCAGCCTGGGAGCACAGCGCCGTGTTCCTTGTGTTACCCCCGTCTCGCCCATCCGCGTGTAATCTTGTCCTCTTTTCTCTCCCTTCTCGCACCCTGCAGGACCCGGCACAGGGAGAGTAGACAACGGCTCCATGAGTTTGGCCGTCCCACTGTGGCTGCTGGCAGCATCCCTGCTCTGCCTACTCAGCAAATGTTAATACAAATCAGAATTAAAAATAATAATAATAATAATAATAATAATTAAAAAAACCCAACACGACAACAACAACACCACACAAAAAACCCCCGCGTTATACAGGAGACAGAGCGAAGAGAGGGGAGAGAGAAAAAAGAGAGGGGGGGGGAGAGAGAGAGGACTGTTTCTTTCACAACTTTTGTGTGTTCAGGAGCGAAGAGGGGGGGAGAGGAAAAATTACAGCAAAGAAGACTCAGCAACATTTAATCCGAAACCTGACAAGCCGGCTGTCAAGTCACCGACCGTCGTAAGAGGCAACACGAAGCGAGGGAAAGAATGGGGCACCAGCAAGGATCATGTCGCCGGAGGATGCCGCAATGTAAACAATCCAACAAAACCCGCAAAGCCAATTGAACAGAAGATCCCTTTTCTCTTCTCTCCTCCTTCCTCTTTTCCATACTCCCTCACCTTCCTTCCTTCCTTCCTTCCTCCTCTTTCTTTCTTTTGCGAAAAGAGGTCTTTGCTTCGGTGTCTATAGCCACTTAACTTTTTGGATGCCCTGGGTCATTTTTGTGAGCTGATGCTCAGCCAGTTCATACTTTTGAAAACAAAACAAAACAAAAAAGCCACAAACCAGAGCAAGTCACCTGAAGCTCTCTGCATACTGGTGTCCTGTGAAGAACCCCTTCCTCTCTTCACTTCACCCTGCGCTCCTGTGCACCCAGCCCTTGCTAGACACCTTCTTTCCTGTCCCCTCCTTCATGCAACATCACGCTGGCTGGCCTGAACTAAAGCTGTGTCAACTCTACTGAAAGCATACTTTTCTTTCCCTTTTTTTTAATCCTCTTCCTCTCCCCCCTCAATTTGACCAGGTGTCTTTCTCTTTCTCCCGTGTATGCCTGTGTGCGTGCGTGCATGCGTGTATGTGTGGCTCTCGCTCCGTCTTCTCTCTCTTTCTCTCTTTCTCTTGCTCTCTCTAAGCATGCAAAAGGAACAGTCCATGTGTACATATGCTCATCCTGCTGTAGATAATGTCCCTCCTTGTAAGTGTGAGACAAGATGCTGAGAGATCACTCAGGCAGAGAAGAGGAGTGAGGAGAGAGGGGCAGCTGCAACACAGGTTCCCATGGTGTCCCCTCTCCGGCATCCTCACTGGGTTCTTGACTCCTGGCCACCTTGCTTGCAAGAGTCAGTCTGCACCCTTGTTCAGCCTTTTTTTCCCTCCCACCTGCAACCTGTCAGGCGCTCAGCCTTCGAGTACCAGCATAGCACCCCCTGCTATGCACAAGTGCTTGCACACACTCATGAGGGTGTGCACACGTGTGCATTTGTCCAAGTAAGCAGAAGAAACCAGGACCGGCCTGCAGCACTACGGAGTGCCGAGGGCGGCCGCCCACTCCTCCTGGGGAGGGGAGGCTGGGCTGGTGGGATGTGAGCGATGAGACCTTGGACACCACTGAGCAGCCATTCCTGTAGGTATAGCGTGTGCGTAGGAATGATGCCTCAACGGGAAAACCACAATCTGGTCATTCCTAACCATTTTGGTAGTCATGCAAAAATAGAGCCAATACCCTTTTTTGTTGTTGTTCTTACTGTCTTTCCTGTTATAAAAGGAAACATATGCTATGTAAGGGTGAGAGAGAGAGAGAGAGAGAGAGAGAGAGAGTGTGTGTGTGTGTTATACACTACTGCTACTACAAAGCTCACTTTGCAAATTCCACGTTTGAAACAAATTGGGTCAGAAAATGTCCAGGACCTGTGAATGTAAGAAGAAAAACAAATGTCAGGTCCAAAATCCTGGGTTTATAAAGAAGGAGCTTAAAGTGGTGCAGCAAAGAAGTAGGCAGCATGATTCCCCTTGCTCTTCTCTTTTCACATCTGAAGGGTGCTGGTCTTGCTGGAGAGGGCTATCACTTGCCATCACCCTTCCCACAGCAGAATCCCGTGCAGAGGTGCCAAAAGGAGATGCTCCAGTGGCTCCTGAGCGAGGAGAAGGAGAGGGAGAGAACAGGCTGCGAGAAACAGGGTTAAGAAAATGCTGGGTGGTGGCTGGAAATTGCCACGCCAGCAACAAGTCTGCTGCGGGAGCCAGAGCGAGCAGTGGGAGAGGGGAAGCCAACAGTCATACGCTCCAGCGGCTGCAGTGCATGTGTGCAGGCAGGGGCAGTGGGGAGAAGACTCCTGTGTTTCCTGGCCAGTCACGAGCCCTAGCATCCACAGCAGCAAAGGTGATAAAACACAGGGTTTACCAGGTAGTCACTTGGGTTTTGGGGAGAGGGATACGCAGGGAGGAACTTGAGTTAGCCCACACAAGTCGAGTAACCATCCCACAACAGCACAGTGTTTTGCAGGTGCTTGGCACCACTGAGCTTTCAAGCACCAGCAAGCTTGCTTTTCTGTCTTTGCCCTGTGAATTGGCGCAGTAGCAGCACGCTTGGCAGCCATGCTCGCACGCTCTTGAAGGCGAGGGGGAAACAGCTTGGGCTTGCAGCCCTGCGGCGGTGTGGGAGGGGATACCCACTGGCTGCTCCCCTGCCAGGAAGGAAAGTGGGAACTGCTGGGGCATTTTTGCACGGCTGGGGCACACTCCGCCAAGGCCTCTCCCTGCCCCTCAGTGTGGCGCTTTCACCTTGCACTGCGGCACTGCCGGTGCCTGCCTCCTCTCTGCTGAGCTCAGCTGTTTCGGGCACCAGCGGGCAGCAGCAGGCAGGCAATTAAGCATGCAGTCAAGGACTCCTCGCAGACAGCCAGAACGAGCGAGGAAATATTAAAGCGAGACACGAGAGGCTGAAGTTTGGGTGATGGCAGACTTGCTATAGACCTGCTGTGGATTTGGATGGTGGTAAATCATGCTCCTCCAGGCCCCAAAGCCATACCTTGGTACAAGAGGGGAGAGCTGGGCAGCTGGTGCTTGAAATCTGGCCAAGGCATCCAGGGACGGCTCCCCACTTCCGAGATAGGGCGGTCGTTGATGGGACTTGTGCATCTTCTTTGGAGACTGGCGTACTGCGGCCCAGGAAAAAAATGCCCTGTATCCTTCAGACACCCCAGTCCTCGTGCCTACCTCTCGTGAGGGTTGTGTCATACGGTGTCTTAGTAACAACTCCAGATTTCCTGCTGCAACAGGGCTCCTCACGCCCCTGGTACAGCCGCGAGCTGATGCTGGTCCCAGAAGTCGGGCCTGGGAGCTGGACCCTCTCCAGTACACTGGCATGAGGGAAAACACCGCATCGCTGGCATTTCTCATTCTCGGGGCTATACCTACGCCTGGATTTATTGTCGTGGGCTTGTTGCGAGAAGGTGGGCAGCCTGCGGTGACTTGCTGTCACAGGCTGTTTCTAAGGGCTGGGTCAAGCCCACCATTTTCTTTAGGCTGAGGCTTCTCTTTGATGCCAACCTGGTTGCTCTTGTAAGGTCTCTCTGGCGTGTTGTCCTCTGCATGTGTTTTTGTCGCTGTGGGGACACTCCTAGGCACGGGGTTCACACACATCAGAGCCCTGTGGTGTGGTGGTGGTCACAAGTCCCGGCACCTCATTGTCTTACATCTTTTTTGGTTTGAAGGAGTTTTGAGGGGATATTTTTTTAGATGTCAAGGCACAGAGGCTTATGGTTGAAGGGAAATATATTACTAAAAACAGGACACCCGTTTTTTGAAGCCATCTGCCTATTAGCTAGAGGAAAGAGCCACAACCCGGGTGCTGGGATCTGGTCTTGCCTGCAGGACCTGGGCAGACCTGTGCCTCCGTCGTGTGGCTGTGAAACAGGGTTAAAGCCAGTTATTTGCAGACCTGTCTGAGAAAAGCCACAAATGCCAAGTATGCCTGTTATCTGCAGCAGTGCTGGGAGCCCCACTCCTGGCAATGTCTGTTCCTAGCAGGGCTGGGGGAGTCGTGAGTAGGCTGGAGCTTGATTTCCTCCAAGAAGCTAATCCTGCCAGCTGCCGCATGCATCACAGGATGCTGTGAACTTCCCCCTGTTTCTCCCGAACTTCAGCAGGGATCGCGCAAAGCATCTGTGGAGAGGAGAGCCCAGATGAACATAGGAAACACAGGCAAGGTCAAACGCTTTTCCCCATTCTCTTTCTCCCCTCCGCCCTTTGACAGAGATGTTGCAAAGGGTTTTCTCATGTCTCAGGTCCTTTTCTCTGAAGCTGTTTTTCCTCCTCACCTCTACTCCGTGTTCATGTTGCTATCTTCCCCATCCCCTCCTGAAAAGCTGCGCTCTTGCTTCCTGCTGCCTCTCAGCTGGTTGGGGACTGGGGGAGACGGGAGTTTGGAATGGGACACCAGTTCCTTGAGCTTGTAAGTGTAATTGTGTTTGATTGATGGAGATTTAACATTTAGTGTTATAAAAAGAAATGAACAAAATGGAAAAAAAAAAAGAAAAAAATTGTATTTCTTCTACTGGTTTGTAAATATTACAAGAGTTACATGAGATGTCTGGTAATGTCCAAGCAGAGGAACAAACACTTAGATTTAATATATGGCCCCATACTTGCTAGCAGATTTCTAACCCTTTTCAGATGACCGAGAGGAGGGGTGAAGGCAAGTCTTTCTGAAAGGAACTGGACAGGGGAAATGCAGCCACCCCGAGCCACATGAACTCCATGCATGACTATAGCATGTTGCTTGGAGCATGTGTCTGGTGAGATGGAAAACGAAGCAGATGCCTGTCTCTGGACGGCTGGGAAGGGCGACGTGGGACGCTCCAGCCGACACCTGTATCTTGGCAGTTGTGTTAATTTTTGTTTGTTTGCAGCCCCGCAGCTTGCGGGTATGTTGCTCAGTGATGCACTCCCCTCCTCCCCCCTTCCCGCTTTCTTCACCAGTGAAGTTGTGTCGCCCCATGCTAGCACCAAGTGCATGTTAACGTGCCATTCATGAAGATTTCATTGGTGACATGCATTGTGTCGAGAGTTAGTCTTTGTCTGCACACCTTTCTCACACCACTGACTGTTCACTGCTTGGGCAGATCTCTCGTGTACTGCTGCTTGCCCCACTTTTGGTCAAAGTATATCCAAGCCCCACCAGCTCTTCTTAGCTCCAGGTGCATCCAGACCATGCCC